AATGAGGAAAAAAAATTAACTTAAATTATTTTAGCAAATGGCTGCAATATAACAAAGAGTGAAAAATTTAAGGGGGTCTGAATACTTTCCGTACCCACTGTGTGTATGTATATGTATGTCAAACATTTTTAAATTATTATTGATAATCAAACACTGGTTTAGAGTAACAATATCAGCTTGGTTGATTTATTTATTTATTTTTTTTGTGTCCACTTTTAGCTGAGATGGACAGTCTGTCTGATCTTTCTCCACCCGGAACCAACCACCTCAGCTTCAGTCAGCAGCCCATCCCGGGCAGCACGGCCGAGCAGTCCCCATCCCCGGTGCCCCTGTCCCACAGCAGTCAGGCCCCCAGCCGCGCCCAGCTCCCCGGCCTGCACCCCGGCCTGGTGTCCACCCCCATCAGCCCCCAGCTGGTGAATCAGCAGATCGTCATGGCTCAGATCCTCAACCAGCAGTACGCCGTCAACCGTCTCCTGGCCCAGCAGTCCCTGAGCCAGCAGTACCTCAACCACCCGCCCGTCAGCCGCGCGCTCAACAAACCGCTGGACGCACAACTGTCCACCAACTCCGAGGTCTCACTGGAGATCTACCAGTGGGTCAGAGACGAGCTGAAGAGGGCAGGAATCTCCCAGGCTGTATTTGCCCGTGTGGCCTTCAACAGGACGCAGGTACATATATTTGGATTATAATATATGATATATTTGGAATAAAAGTGCCTTTTGAGATAAAATATAAACACATTACATGGGGCAAGATTATCACAAAATGATACATTTTTAGCAAAGTTGTCTGTCTAATCCTAGTTAGACAGATTTGTCTTCTCACATCGACTACAAAAACCTAGCACGCGGTCTACATAATAATTTGATTCTTTTTGTTTAGTAATTTTTTGTTTATTTATTTTAGTTAAAAATAGTCAAACAAAAAATCATGAACCGTTTTTTATGTTATTGAAAGAAGTCTCTTATGCAAAGCGTCATGATGATGATCGAAGATATCATCTTTTGGACACTCCGCTAATGCACTGCAACTAGCAGAGTAGAAGAAATCCAACCAAAACGGCAGATAAATGTTTTCAATACTGGAAAATAATGATTAAAAAAATATTCCAGTCTAGTTGGTTACATGGCAATATTTGTTTTTTCTGTCTTTTTTTTATTTTTTTTTATTGGAATATGGCAACAATAGAGGAATTTTCATCAATTTTAATCGATTTTAATCGATTAAATTTTCATCAATTTTAATCGATTTCATCAATTTTCATCAATTTTAATCGATTTACTTCAAAATAGAATTATTTTTATTTTTTATTTTTTTTATCTGCATTGCGCTTCAGCCTTTTGTACAATTATTTTCCGTTTGAGTTTGGATTTGTCAAATTAATTGAGTGTCACTGTACATTTTCCTCAAAATATTATTGCACAAATCAGGGTTAATATTGTTACCTAAAACTAAAACCCTAAAAAAAGTTAATTACTTGGAAAAAAAAAGCTATAAATAAGTATACAAATGTATTTTATTTCAGCTAGTTGCCAAGGCAGCATTTCTCATTTTCATTTGGTTTAAAGGGGTCATGAACTGCCTTTTTTTATTATTTTGTACTGTTCTCTGAGTTCTATTTATAATGTTATTAAAGGGGTCATATGATGCTGCTAAAAATAACATTATTTTGTGTATTTGATGTAATGAAATGTGTTTATGTGGTTTAAGGTTCAAAAAACACATAATTTTCCACATACTGTACATTATTGTTTCTCCTCTATGCCCCACCTTTCTAAAACGCGTCGATTTTTACAAAGCTCATCGGTCTGAAAAGCGAATACCTGATTGGCCGAATACCTCAAGCGTGTGACGGAAATGTTATGCCCTTGCCATATTGTGATTTCTCTTTCCTAATGTTGGGATCAGAAGGAAGGCGATGCAAAGACTCTGTTCTTCCACAACTTGGCACTGTACAGCGGTTGTTGTCTTCTGAGCACCTTTATCGTTTGATTTCAGTAGAGACCTGCGTTTGCCTCTCTCGTTATTTACACTGCATGCATGAATCAGTGGGCGGGGCTAAACAGGCAGTGATGTAGAATCGGTGGGTGGGACTAAACGGACAGTGGCGTAGAATCGGTGGGCGGGGCTAAACAGGCAGTGATGTAGAAGCAGGCGTTGATCTTCTCTTGCAGAGGCGGGGCTTAGCCAGACTATTACATCATAAAGTGGCACATTCCACAACCTGTCGTTTTGGCAGATTGGCTTCAATATAAGCTGATTTTTAGACTAACGAGAAAGTTTTGAGTTCTGAAACTTACAGGATGTTTCTATAGTACAATGACCTCTTATATGTCAAGGGAATTTTGATTTCTCAGTTCATGACCCCTTTAAGTTAAAATACAAAAATAACCAAGACTAAAGCTAAAAACTAAAATGTAATAAATGCTATACAGACATATATATATATATATATATAAAAAAAGAGAAACTAATTAAAAAATTGCCAAAAACATAAAACAATCTCTAAAAATTTAATTAAAATTTAAAGTGAAAACAGAAAATGTACAAAAAAAATCTACATCTCAATTTTCACAAATTATAATATTATATCAGTGATACTAAAATTACTCTGGTGAAAACTTAGTCTTGATGGTGATAAGATCTGTACCATATTGTGAAGTAAAATATCACAATACTTTGTCCCTGTATCAATTCATGAAAGCACTCAAACACCCTAACAAATGCTGGGAAAGTTGTCAGACAAACTCAGCATTGTGGGGATTTTTCACTAGTTGTTATTAGTATTAGTACTTGACAACTGTCTGCCATCATCAGGTGAGACAAAGAGAGACATACCTGGCCATGTGCCACCGGTGGGGGGTGGGTGCTGGCTCGGCCACGGACTGTCACCGCAGCACGCATGAGCGACTGTTGCTGGAGACAGTGGGAAGATAATGTCTCGTGATGTTCTGCATAAAACCCCCATTTGGCAGGAAGTGACTTTGATGTTGTGTTAGAGTGATGGGATAGGAATCTGTAGGAATCGGAGGCCGCGTCATGACCGGTGTGTTTGCACAAATTGGCCTTTAGTTGCTCTGGGAAGAATTTGCAACATGCATTGTTTTTTGGTTTCCACAGAGCCCTTAAATATTTATTGTACATCCTTCCCCACATGTGAATCATGGCTGCTTGTGGTGGCATGTCGTGGCGTATCAGAGTCAAAATGTTTATGTGGGCTTGGTGGCCCAATTTTAGGTTTTATTATGCAAAGTGCATTAACCTTGGTGGTGTTTGATAGTATTTGATCAAAAGTGTTACTGACCAATCCTAGCGTAGCAGCCTTTGGCTTCTACCAGATTTGCAGGCTATCTTTTGCTCTTTTCTAACATACATTTCTATTAAAGTAAAACAAAACAAAAAAAAAAGTTTGGGTTCAGTAACAAAGGCCGGATTTATTTGATCAAAGATACACTAAAATTTTGAAATATTTGAATATATTTTAAAATGTAATTTATTCCTGTGATCAAAGCTGAATTTTCAGCATCATCTTCAGTGTCACATGATCCTTCAGATTTCATTCTAATATGCTGCTCAGACATTTCTTATTATTGATGTTGAAAACAATTATGCTGCTTCATGTTTTTGTGGAAACAGTGATGCATTGTTGTAACTTATAAAAAAAAAATACTTTATTAAAGTCTTTATCGTCGTGTTTTGATAAATTTAATGCATCCTTGCTGAGTATTAATTTCTCTAAAATAATTTAAATTGTATTAACATCCTGTGTATTTGGATAGTAGTAAACAAAAATGATTATAAAACATGATGAATGTGTTGTAGAAACATTAGGAACAATCCTGTCCACTTGTAATCGGATTTTCCTTTTGACTTTAAGAAGCATTTCTGATTCTGATGTCTTTGTAGTTTTAATCGCATTACTGTATAATTTAACTTATTTGTAAAGAAAGGCTTTGTGATGTCATAATATCCATTACATTTTTAGCGCTGCATTAAATTACTTTAATGAAAAGCACTTTTAACAGAGATATCCAATTTATTCCTATGGGACAGCTGTAAATAAGGTGGGCGGAGCTTATTGACGGGTCAATTGCTTTGTCGCGTATGGAGTGGAGAGAAAGTTTTAATTGTTGCTCTTTGCTAAGAGGACGATGCGTTTATTTCTGTGTCTCTCCCAGGGTCTTCTGTCTGAGATTCTTAGAAAAGAGGAAGACCCCAAGACAGCGTCTCAGTCGCTCCTGGTCAACCTGCGAGCGATGCAGAACTTCCTGCAGTTACCGGAAGCGGAGCGCGACCGCATCTACCAGGACGAGAGGGAGCGCAGCTTGACTGCGGCCTCTGCTATGGGCCCTGCGCCCCTCATCAGCACCCCTCCCCCACGCCCTGTACAGGTAACATGCTCAAATCGCACTCCAATGGGCACTAAAAGATCAGTTCTCTTTTGTAGAGTAAAAGGTGTGCTGTAGGGTTGTAACCTTTGGTGCATGGCAAAAACAGTATTTATTTATTGTATTTTTGTCTTGTTTTCCAGTTAAAATATCTATGCATCCTTAAAACGAGATCATTTTATTTACCAAAGACAGAAAGAATATATCTTGAATTAGGTAAATTTTTCTTGCTTTTTTGGCAAAACATTTTTTTTCTTGTATTATGCATAAATCTAACAGATTTAAATAGGTTATGTGTTTTGTTTATTTATATTTTATAAAAACAAAAAACAATGTTTCTCGAGTTAGATTCGTTTTTCTTACTCTGTTGGCAAATGTTTATATTTTAAGCCTAACAGATTTAAATAAATTCTCTGTCTTGGTTATATTTTTATAAACACTAATACAAATATTAGTGTTACTATTAGTATCACTATAAATATTAGTATCACTAACATAAAATTACTACAACATTAACTCAAAACAGAAAATATAATCATAATTCAAAATCTGAAACAAGATGAATTTATTTGGATACATTTTACTTCTCAAAGACACTGTGAATATATCTGGAATTAGGTTAATTTTCCTTACTCTGTTGGCAAATGTTTTATGCATAAATCTAACAGACTTAAATAGGTTCTCTGTCTTATTTATATTTTGTTAATATTTTGCAAAGCAAAAATCTTTTTTTGTTTGTTTTTTGGAATAACATGCACTGATCATTCATTCACAGTAAGACCACAGACATGCATTAATATAGTAAATGGGGTCATGTTGAATTTAAATAGATTCTGTATTCTCACTTATGTAAATGCAGGTGGAATTGAACACTCAGACTCCGTTTCAGAACAAATATTTAGCACGCTCTCACTCACTCACATAATGAGTGATTAGCTAAGGTGTTTTTCATCAGTCATCGTCAGAGTATTTGCTTTGCGCAGACTGGAATGTAAAGCGTAAATTCCTGAGGACCCCCGCCAACTGCTGGAAAAATGACTTTATTTTAACATAAAAAAAATTCCACAGCAGCTTTACTCGCATGAACAGAGTGTAAGATTGTACTAGCAATAGAAGATGGGGAAAACCTGTTTGGTAAAGGCCATTATTTTTGCAGTTCTGTTTGGTGTGTCCAGAAATGATGCACTGCGGCTTTAAATGACAGTGTATTATAGTAATGTGTTGGTCAGGAGCTCACACATGACAGTTTATACTAACACAACCACAAGCACACCATTACAAGCCCACAACTAGAACTCTGTATTTACAAATCTTGACTGACATGCAGTTAAGTACAGATGCAATAATACAGACTAAACAAAGCATTTCCCAATGCCTTAAAGCAAGACACTATACTGGCAAAACCTTTTTTTTTTTTTTTTTTTTCAGGCACTTGTCAATTTTGAGATTTTAGTCTATTTTGCTTATGTAATGTGATGACTTTTTGCCTAGTGAAAATAAAACATCAAAAATGTTTATACATTTAATCTATTTGCGGCTATGCATTTTAATTGCAATACATGGCTGTTTTCTCAAACTGAGCCAGAAATGTCCACTTCAGTAGCACTTAATCTATCTAACAAACTTTACAATTGCATTCTTATTTATGTTTCTAGGCATAAAATGTACACGCATAACATTTTATGCCTATGGTGAAAATGTTTTTTTTTTCCTGGCTATTGGCAATATTTTCTGATTTATGAAGTGATAAACTGAAATATCCAAAATCCCCTTTGTATAAATCTTTAATGTCACCTGTAATGTCAACAAATTAAAACTTTATCCAGTGTGATATGGCTTTATCCAGTGTACAGATTTCTGTTCTGGAGTTGTATGCAAATGGATGCATATCTAATTATATAATGCCTCTTTTGCATATTTAAAAGTAACATTTCAGAAAACTTGTAATACAAGTTTGATTTGTCCTGTGTTTGATTTATTAATAGTGGTGTTAACAGCTGGAAACATTACATTTATGCATTGTAAATGTTATGCATTTAGCAGACGCTTTTATTCAAATATTAAATGCACCACCTCTATTTGTTAAATTCTGTACTGTTATTGGCGATTACCAATGCAAAAGTGTCAGTACATCAATGCATCTGTACTTTTGGAAACGTTTAATGCAGGAAAGATATCAGGAAGTGTTTTTCACTCGCAGCCATTCTAGATCTCCGAACTCTTCAAGCAGGGCCTGAAAGGTATGCAGAGTCTCCTTCAAACGCAGTTGAGTGTGTCTTAGTGGATCGGACACAAAGCCTTCCTGTGTGTGATGGACTGAGGAGGCTCTTTTATACAGGAGAAAAACTCCCTCACACACAGAATGTGTAAAGACCGAAATGTCATCAGTGTTCACTCAAGTGTGCAAGCATTTGTGTGTGCGCTTGCGTGCATCATGTCCTAGTGTGTGTGTGCAAACCAGATGCTGCTTTCCTGTTCAGATTCCATTATCAGATGCTTCTGTAACCTGATTATTCAGCAACTGCGCCTAATTCGTCAGTCTCGTACAACGCTGGGCAAAAGTCTCCATTATCTGATGATATTTGTTCAAATTGGTGACCTTTTGAATCGAAGAGCATATCGATGCACTGCTTGACACACATAATGGCTGTGTTCCAAAACCTAGTGCTTCCTTGGTGCATAGGCAGCATCCTAACTGAAATGGAGCCTCAGATTTGGAACGTTCTACATAGGCAGCAAAAAGCATAAGCATCTAATAAGCATAAAAATGTTTAGCACGCACAAATATTGGGTTATTTAAACATTCTAAATTGTATTTTTATTTATTTTATTATGATATAATGTTATTATTTTGTTAGTGTTTTTCAGTATTTTATTTATTTTAACATTCTTAATTTTATTTTAATTTAATATAATAATTTTATTAGTACTTTTCAGCATTTAATAAATTATATATTATAAATATTAGATAAAATATAATATATAATTTTACATTTTTTATCTAAATATATTATTATTAAAAATACTTTTTGAACTTGATGCCTTTTATATGCATGTTTAGGTTAACTTTGTTGACTGTGTTTGAACATGCCTTCAGTCAGATAACATTTTGTCCATCATTGGCTCTTTTGCATAAAATGTTTGATAAAGCAGGTCCAGGTAGAGGGAAGTCTTCTGATGCATGGCAGCTTGATGCTGACAGATATGAGTGAGATGTTCGCAGGATAGTTTCTGCTGTAAATCAGCAGGGTGGCACGTCTTGCAGCACTGCAAGGCTTTTATGGCGGTCATAAAAACGGATGTGAAGGTATGTTTCCCACATACGTTAATGGATCGTCAGACAGTGTGCAAGTTTGTGAACGCTCATCCCTTTATAATCAGATATGGTCACAAAATAAGTCGGCCTAGACACTGATGCTTCACATGTAAATGACTGCTGTAGGTGCCGCTGCGCTGACAGCCTCTTCAGCGGTTCTGCTGTGGCAGTTTGTAGACCCTTCATGTTAAAAAAAAAGTTATAGCCATGTTTGCAAGTCGTTTTGCTGCAGAAATCACTGCTGTGTGATAGAAATCTGATCATGTGTTACTAGAGTATTCTGATCAGTCCAATTAAGTGTTATTTGAACCTATTGTTTTAAATATTTGTTTGATTTGTGTGTGCGCTTGCGTGCATCATGTCCTAGTGTGTGTGTGCAAACCAGATGCTGCTTTCCTGTTCAGATTCCATTATCAGATGGTTCTGTAACCTGATTATTCAGCAACTGCGCCTAATTCGTCAGTCTCGTACAACGCTGGGCAAAAGTCTCCATTATCTGATGATATTTGTTCAAATTGGTGACCTTTTGAATCGAAGAGCATATCGATGCACTGCTTGACACACATAATGGCTGTGTTCCAAAACCTAGTGCTTCCTTGGTGCATAGGCAGCATCCTAACTGAAATGGAGCCTCAGATTTGGAACGTTCTACATAGGCAGCAAAAAGCATAAGCATCTAATAAGCATAAAAATGTTTAGCACGCACAAATATTGGGTTATTTAAACATTCTAAATTGTATTTTTATTTATTTTATTATGATATAATGTTATTATTTTGTTAGTGTTTTTCAGTATTTTATTTATTTTAACATTGTACATTTTATTTTAATTTTTCAATTTAATATAATTAATGTTATTTTATTAGTACTTTTCAGTATTTTATTTATTTTAACATTCTTAATTTTATTTTAATTTAATATAATAATTTTATTAGTACTTTTCAGCATTTAATAAATTATATATTATAAATATTAGATAAAATATAATATATAATTTTACATTTTTTATCTAAATATATTATTATTAAAAATACTTTTTGAACTTGATGCCTTTTATATGCATGTTTAGGTTAACTTTGTTGACTGTGTTTGAACATGCCTTCAGTCAGATAACATTTTGTCCATCATTGGCTCTTTTGCATAAAATGTTTGATAAAGCAGGTCCAGGTAGAGGGAAGTCTTCTGATGCATGGCAGCTTGATGCTGACAGATATGAGTGAGATGTTCGCAGGATAGTTTCTGCTGTAAATCAGCAGGGTGGCACGTCTTGCAGCACTGCAAGGCTTTTATGGCGGTCATAAAAACGGATGTGAAGGTATGTTTCCCACATACGTTAATGGATCGTCAGACAGTGTGCAAGTTTGTGAACGCTCATCCCTTTATAATCAGATATGGTCACAAAATAAGTCGGCCTAGACACTGATGCTTCACATGTAAATGACTGCTGTAGGTGCCGCTGCGCTGACAGCCTCTTCAGCGGTTCTGCTGTGGCAGTTTGTAGACCCTTCATGTTAAAAAAAAAGTTATAGCCATGTTTGCAAGTCGTTTTGCTGCAGAAATCACTGCTGTGTGATAGAAATCTGATCATGTGTTACTAGAGTATTCTGATCAGTCCAATTAAGTGTTATTTGAACCTATTGTTTTAAATATTTGTTTGTGTGTGTGTGTGTTCACAGCCCAGAAGAGAGGAGTGTAACAGTGTGAGACCAGAAGACTGGAATCCCAGAATTCCAGTGGGCATCTCTCCTGTGAGTGCACATATGGTACACTGTTTATGCAAAAAGTGATGCAAGATTTTGTCCTTGATTATAAACCTATGTACATGTATATTATTACATAGGTTACATAATATGGTTCATATTACTTAATATGGGTCAACATAGGTTGCTAAAATAATAATTAAATAAATGGTAATGTATAATAATAATTATTATTATGTAACATATTTTTAGATATTAAAAATAATAATTATTATTAACAATTGTTGTGGTTTTATTATTTCATATATATGTTGTTCAAAAGTTTTTGAAAGAAGTCTCTTCTGCTCACCAAGGCTGCATTTTATTTGATAAAAATAAATATGAAAAATTACTGTTTTCTATTTTAATATATTTTCAGATTTAATTTATTCCTGTGATGCAAAGCTGAGTTTTCAGCATCATTACTCCAGACTTCAGTGTCACATGATCCTTCAGAAATCATTCTAATATGCTTATTTGCTGCTCAAAAATCATTTGTTATAATTATCATTTATTATTAAACATGTATTATTAGCTTTTTTAACTAAATAAATGTCTTTACTGTCACTTTTGATAATTTTAATGCATCCTTGCTGAAAAAAACAACAACAATTATTTAATAAATAAATAAAAAATCTTACTGATCCTAAGCTTTTGAACAATTGTGTATGAAATGATGCGTGTGTGTGTGTGTATATGTGTGTATATATATATATATATATATATATAATTATTATTGTTAACCTTCTTGTTTGAAAGTGCATTAAAAAGGTAAAAGTCTATCCATCTACCTAACTTGTTGCATGATTTGTCCTCTGCTCAGGTGAAGCCCAGCCCTCTGACCTCGGAGTGGAACGGGAAATCTGAGAACTGTGTGTTAAACATCAACTCCTCCATCTACGACGAGATCCAGCAGGAGATGAAGAGGGCCAAAGTGTCCCAGGCCATGTTCGCCAAGGTCGCCGCCTCGAAGAGCCAGGTACGGCCCGCTCCGCTCCAACTTCGACTTTCACCAGCCTATCATGCTTGAACCGCTCGTCCGGTTGACATAACATTGTCAAACATTTTTGTGTATAGCCGACAGAAAGCTCAGATAGCGAGATAAAAGCGTAAAAGGAGTGCTTTGTTAAGCCTCGCAGGTAGCGCAGCGCCATAATGACTTGCGCTGCTTTATTGTGGGCTTGCGGACAGCAGCCAGTGTTGCAACATAAAACAAATGTGTTTATATAATTCAGCTGTGCAACGATCACACTGTTATCTTACAAAACGAACAGCCTTCTGCTGAATACAGGCCTCTGTGAGAAACATTACCGTCTGTTTTAGCCTATTAAAACTAATTAAAGAAACGCAAGGCGAGCCCCATTATTAAAGGTTTCACACATCTATGTGCACACTTAAAGATTTTCACAATTACATCTGATGGGGGGGAAACGTGAACGAAAGCCCTAAATTATCTAGAAATATCAGCAGGTTTTTGCTGATTGCACTGATTACGGTGCCAGATACTTTTGTTTCACCAAATTACAGTTTGATGCACAAACCACTGTTTTTGTCGAAGGGAGTTCAAAGCCGAGAAGGGTGGAGGAGAGAAAAGACAAACCAGGGCATTTATTCACGTAAGATTCTCGTCTAAACTGACGGTTTGAGAGAAAAGAGCCCCCTCTCTGCCTGAGCCTGTGTGCTCCATTCATGGCTGGTGTGAATGTGAATTGAGCAGCAGATAAGAACTGTGCTAATTACGCAGCTGAAAAAGGGGCCTGGGAGAGCACTTATCTCCGGCTCCATCTCGTAATGTGTGCTCCCCGGGCAGCTGGTACCCCCTCCTTCCCGTTCCCAGCCCCCTCTGCGGGGCCCACGGGGCCCGCCAGCTGAATGTCCGGCCGGTGCCGAGCGCCTGGCGGTGCTGGTGCAGATGCAGAGCAATCGTATTTACAAAACGGGCTCTACGATGTCGTAATTAGCGGTGGGGAAGCTCTTTTCCAATTGAGGCGTGACGATTGAAGAATCATAGAGGGAAGCCAATTGGTATCAGCCATAATTACTGTACGTTTTCATTGTGATCGGTCAGTTTGGTGGCATTTTGAGTGCTTTTAATGAAGAATAGTGATCAGTCTTGGCTGAAAATTCTCATTTCGTCATTTGAGGCAACAGGCCAAAGCTAAATTTCTTATCATCAATGATGAAAACAGTTGTGCTGCTTAAATATTTTTGTGGAAACGGTGATACATTTTTCTTTCATAATTCTTTGATGAATAGAAAGTTCAAAAGAACAGCATTTATTTGAAATAGAAAACTTTTGTAGCATTATCTTTACTGTCTTTACTGTCGCTTTTGATCAATTTAATGCGTCCTTGCGGAATAAAAGTATTAATTTCTTTTAAAAAGTTGCACTGACCCCAAACTTTAGAATGATAGTGTATGAAATAATAAATTATTTTTGTGTAGTAGTAATAATACATTATTTTTATATAGTTATTACAGGCCAAAACTACATACAAATTATATTCTTAGAACTGTTATCTTTTTAGAATGTAAAATAGCAAAGTAAATAAATGAAATAAAATTATGAAATGCATTCTGACTCGAGTCCAATTTATGATTTCTGAACCAAGTAGGATGTCAAACTTGGTAACAATTCACAATAAGTTCCCATTAGTTAGTGTTAATGCATTAACTAAAACTCAAAAGCCTTTACTACAACCTGCTAAAATGCTAAAGTTTGGCTTAATTTGAAGAAATTATGACGGAAATATATTGTACAGTAGAATGTATTTCAATACAGTTATTAAAACAATATCCCAATTTTTTTGTCCATATTTTAATCATAATTTCATTTGATTGCATTTTAAAAGATCAATTCAATTGTTAAAGTTGTATGTATTTGTATGATTGCCACTGTTTTTCATGAATGCATTTGTATGAAACCATAAAACACAGAATTCAGAAAAATTAAAATGGAAAAACAGAATTGGGGGCGAGGGGATTAAACCGATAATTTTTATTTATTGATTATAACTTCATTGACTTATATTTTAAAAGACCAATTAAATTGTTAAAGTTTTACGCATTCAAATGATCACCACTCCTTTGGTTATAAATTTGTATTAAATCATAAAACAGAATTCAGAAAAAAATTAAAACTGAAAACAGAATTTGGGGAAAAATAAAACGCATTTCATAATTTCATTTGATTTACATTTTAAAAATATCAGTTAAATAGTTCATTTTATGCACTCATATGATTACCACAGTTTTAATAATACAAAAAAAATCTTAAAACACCGAATTCAGAGAAATTGAAACCGAAAACTGATTTTGAGGAAAAATAAAATGCATTTCATAATTTCATTTGGTTGATCATTATTGCATTTGATTTACATTTTAAAAGTCAAAAAAAGAAAAAGAAGAGCGGAAAAAAAAATAAAAAGAAACTGACTTCAGGGGGAAAAAAAATAAAGCCAGCCTTTAGATTTTATAGGGCCCTCATGTTAGCTTAGATCAGTTAAATAATATTAACATACAGCTTTTGATTTTAAGATTAATAAATGCTTTCAAATTGTTTTTCACGCATTTCATAATTTCATTTGGTTGATCATTATTGCATTTGATTTACATTTTAAAAGTCAAAAAAATAAAAAGAAGAGCGGAAAAAATAAATAAAAAGAAACTGACTTCAGGGGGAAAAAAAATAAAGCCAGCCTTTAGATTTTATAGGGCCCTCATGTTAGCTTAGATCAGTTAAATAATATTAACATACAGCTTTTGATTTTAAGATTAATAAATGCTTTCAAATTGTTTTTCATAATTAGTTTAAATATAGTTAACAAATGTTAGCAAATGAACCCTTATTGTAAAGTGTAGCCACAAACTGTGCATGTTTGTGTCTGTCCCTCTCACCCCCTGCCTGGCTGAAGGACCTCAGGGTCTTGGATGGCGTGTGGTGGGAGGTGTTTTGCCATATGGTTATCTTCCGTGTGACAGATTAATTGGCGCGTCCATCAGTGCAGGAATCCTTGTCCGTAGCGGAGGTAGACTGCAGCAGCATTGGCCGCAGCACACGCTAGAGATCTGGCACAGGCCGTGGGTTTGGCTTCCGCAGCCACGGGGCTCCAGACTCGGCCCAGCTCTGCCCTCGACGAGAGCCATGGAGATGGGAGGTGTTGAGGGGGAGGCGCAGCGCTCATCCCCTGGGCTTTCAAAGCTGTAAACAGTAGTTTGAGGGGGTTAAAGAGAGCCATCGCATGTGTGTGTGAGCGTGTGTACCTGCTTACTCATGTGGCCGCATGTACGGCTGTGGTGTAAAGTGGTATGTGTGCTGTTTATTGGGGGATGGGCACTGGATCGGAGCCATGCCGTCCCCCTCTCTGGGCACACATCCATACAGGACGTGAGTGCCAGGCTTTATCTATTTGGTGGCACTTTCATATTCCGAGTAGCATTTCAATTAATTTCTTCTCCTGCACCACAGATAAAACACTATTTTTGCAGCTTGTAAACTGAAAAAGAAACCTATAAATTGTTTATTTGTACACTCTCATGATGTCTATTGCAGAGTTTGCGAAAATTGTGATGTTTTGTAGGTGAAACGAAAGCTGTTGAGGTTGTAGTAGTGAATTTCTTCCCTTCCCTCCTTCGGTGCAGGATATTTTCGCCTGTCCAATTGTGGTTTTTATTTGAAGCATCATTCATATGGCACAATTCATGAACCTAAGTTTAAGGTCAACATGAAGTGCTGTTCGCAACCAATTTTTTCGAATGCATTTTTGATGAGTTAAGATGCGGTACAATATATATAAAAAAAATTTTTTTTGAAAGAAGGCTGCATTTATTTGCCCAAAAATACAGTAAAAACAGTAATATTGTGAAAGATTATTACAATTCAAAAGATGTTTTCTATTAAAATGTTTTCTAGAATGTAATCTATTCCTGTGATGTAAAGCTGAATTTTCAGCATCATTACTCCAGTCTTCAGTGTCACATGATCCTTCAGAAATCATTCTAATATGCTGATTTGCAGATCAAGAAACATATGTGCATGTTTATATACATGTTTCATATACATCTGTTTGTGTGTGTGTGTGTGTGTGTGTGTATATGTGTATATATATGTGTATATATATGTATATGTATATATATATATAACTAACATAAGTGACTGTACTGTCACTTTTTATCAATTTGTGTCATTGCTGAATAAAACTAATAATAATTTCCAAAAATATATTAAAATAATTAGATATAATAATTATAAAAAATTTAATCATATATTTAATTGTGATCATTTCAGAATAGAGCCAGGGATATGGAGGGAGAAGTAAAAAAAAAAAGAAAAATGATGAAATGGAAAACATTTATAGTTTTGGAATTTAAGTTTATATATGTGTGTGTGTATGTATATATGCGTGTGTGTATATATACACAGATATTTAAAAAATAATTTGGAATAACATGATGCACTGATGAATCATTCACAATAAGACTAGGAACATGTAATATTACGTAAATAGGATCAGTTTTGATTTCATGTTGAGTAGATTTAGAGGTTTGTTAAAGTCCCTAATTTTGAATATGAGCAATAGTGAAAGTGACGTATGACTGAGCAAACACCACTAATACAGACATGACCGTGCTGAAGTGGCATTCGCAGAGCTCTGCTGGGGCTGGTAGAATAGAGAGAAGAAGGGCATTATGGGAGTTGTGCTGACTCCCTCTGATGGTGAATACAATCACGACCCCTGTTGTCAGATGACAAGCCCTTTAGAACCCAGAGCCATTCCCTTAGAGTGACCTGTCACGCTGTCTCTCTCTCTCTCTCTGTCTATGTCTCTCGCTCACTCCTGGAAGAGGCTGTGGTAATTAGCAGGGCTCTAATGAGACAGAATGTCAGTGATCTGCCGCAGTACAGGGGAGCAGGCGATAGGCCGGTGTGTGTATGAAGGGGGGTAGAGGAGGCTGTGCCATCTGTCGCTGAGCGCCTGG